TAAAGGAACATCTTATCTTATCTAGTCTTATCTTATCTTATCTTTCTGTGTGGTATTACTGATTATTGTAAACATGTCTTCACTTTTTCCACTGTCCTGTTTCATATGAATCTTATTCTGGCTGCTGGCTATGTGTTGATTAGTCACTCACAGCTGAGCTCCACTCGGATGAAGTCTTTATGACCCATGTTCTCCAGAAAGACCCCTGAATTAGCAGTGGTCTTGAAGTAGAAGGAGATGTCGAAGGTGAGCTCGGCCCGCAGGGTGGGGAAGAGGAGGGAGGATGACTCCTGGTAGAAGGATGCTGCGTTCCAGATGGACTCTGAAAGAAAATAAAAAAGGAGTACAGGAGCAAGCTTCCTAGTGGAAGGCTGACAGCAAGGCAAAACCTTCAGTCACACATTGAAAGGGGACAAGCAGTTAACAAAACCACATCATAACTATTCGAGGGTAAAGTAAGGACTCCTGGAGTCGCCAGCATTAGTGGCTAGTATGGCTGATCTGGAGGATGAGGCTGTGCTTGTACTCAGAGCATCTGAGGTATTCTATTATTTGACTCAGCCCCTCATAGAGATTGACGTCATCTAGAGAACCAATCACAAAGGTCAGTTACCCTCATATGTGCATTCAATCACACACATTATATTTTCAGTCTGAACTCTTCAGTCCTATGCATGCTCACAGAAGATAACCAGCTGCTCCATGTTGAATGTACAATAAATCACAGAACATACACAGGACATAGCCATAATATACAAATATAATAAACAAAAAAGAGTTGTGTGCAACTGATCTGCTGTTAACAAGGCATAAGTTATGTAGTCATAGATAATTCTACAAGCTGGTACTGCAACACACTGAAAGAGACAGTAGTTGTAATACAAAGAAATAATTTAATGTATTACATTTGCAAAATTTACAAGAGGGGAAACATAAGTACGAATTTATTGTAGACAATGTTTCACAACTCACACCCCAATACCAGGATTTTTTAAGGGAGTCTGGGGCTAATTTGGTGCTACCTCAAATTACAACATTACATTACATTATAAGGACAAGTTCCTCTGGCTCCTTTTAGTGCTCTTAATGGTATTTGCAAGAATCCACTGGGCCTGAATGAAAACAACCAATCAGAGCTGAGAAAGATAGAAAGACGCTTCAGATTGAAGATAGTTAATTGTCAAGTCTCATTCCCAGCATCAATATTGGGACAACCTGGGAATGAGATTCAACAATCAAATGTGTTTCTTGGCTCTGACAGCTTGTTCACATCGCCCGTGTGTGCATGGTGGAACATCTTGATTTTTATTTTGATGCCCATGTTAACAGATTAGAGTAAGACGCATCTCTCACACATATCTCAACTGTGTCTGCAGCGACGCTTCACTAGAGAGTCGAGGTTTTGCCTATTTTCACTGCGAGCTACACCTCTCCCAGCAAATGAGCACAGTGAAAGGATCTGTTGGTAGTCATATTCACATATTTCACCACAATTTAAACTTCCTTTTCAACGTTAAAGCACTAGTAATCTTATATTTAACTTCACTTGTGAAGAAGAAGAATTTTCACAGCCGCCTGTTTAAACTACATATATATGGCATTGCAAATTTAATTCATTTTTACGGACATTATATAAAGTAAAGTGTATGATGAAACATAGGAATGGCTCTGTGTGAACACAGCAAGCTTGCCAGACACTGCTGTGCTGCTCAGTCGACCTATGTGAACAAGGTTTGAATTGTAGTTTTCGTCCAAGCCTGGAGGATTCTTGCAAATACCATTAGCAGCACTAGAACAATTATACAGATTATCTTTCTCATCTACTACTGTCAGGATATACATCGACCTGTCCATCCCAGCTGGGTTGCCTAAAGAAGTCTTACCCTTAAGTGCCAACCACTTCTTTACTAGATATTATCAATATGTCTTTATCATCAGGCTATGTGCCACAATACTTTAAAGTAAAAGTAATTAAACCCCTGTAAGATATAAGGGCTGCATTTGACACCATTG